GAGTTTTAATAGGTATCATCAGTATATATTGTCATACTATTACTTATAATCATTTATTCTTCGACTATTTATAGTATGCGGTTTCACAGATCGTTCATATTACAAGGTTGAAAATAATCTGTGGTTCATTTGTTTACTTTACAAAACGAAATAAAAACAGAACAACAGGGGCACAAGGTCTTGACATTTTGATAAAAAAATTATTGAAATAACTGATTTTGTGGATCAAAGTCAGAATGTGTTTATCATGGCAATGAATAGAGGTTATTTGGTTGACGGTCAAGGTTTTGACTTTGAGAAGATTGTGGATATTAAATTTCCGTTTTTAAATAGGTAACAGATCTTATTAAATTGAATCCTAATGATCGTACTCGTATGTTCATGAACATTAAAATAGTTCAGCAGTTTTGTAAATATAATCTTTGATTGTAGCCTTCAAAGATTTAGAAATTGAAGGAATTTATTGCTAACTAATATACTTTATCATAGTCGCGTTGGCAATTATCTTAGAGTTTACTCATTACGATAGCATGATTTTTGAGACAAGAAGATGCAAAATATTTAGAGATCATACGATACTCAGCTGCAGTACGTTTATTAACAATTCCCTCAAGTGGATGATTGAGGGAAATTATGTGCCATTTATCCTTACATTACTACATGCATGTGTGCTTGCTTACGACATTCGAGAATTTTATACACGTACATTGCAAAAATGTGGCAATCAAATTAATTTAATTTTAATTCTTTGTTGATTAAAATTTTATATGATAAAACACCTTGATTGTGTATATACGTGTTACTAGACAGAATTTAGTTCTTTAGAACGGCAGATAAAACTGCCACTTTTGTAGCATCTTCTACGTGAAACTCGTTTAAGCATATGTACATGTAAAGTTTAATTTATTCTTGTCTTTATTGGCTTAGTGCTTACTGTTGCTATTTGTGGACGGGCTCGTAAACATCTTCGCTTGCTAACGGTTCTTGATAATGAACGAGTAACGTCGTGTGAGCGCACATTGAATTACAAAGAGATTCTCGACATGCTTCTTGTTTTCTTGTCTGTTGGTCTCCACAATAGAAACACTCTTACAAAACATTCATTTTACACTGTACCTTTTACCCTAAACTATCCTAGCATCTCAAGGCGTCAAGTGGAAAACAAGGGATATAGATTAATGTAAACAATAGAATTTAGGTACCCTTATACTCAATTAAGAAAATGAATAAAAGTACAAACATGCAGCATAGCCCATAGCAACACTATAAATATAAAAGCAGCCATCGTGTGAAATAACTGTGTATACGTACAAGTATTTTGTTGATTGATTGAGGTAACCTCAATGATAACAGTGTTTGATTAAGAATTTATCACTTTGACATAAAAATCTTGATACTTTAAAGATTTTCTCAAGGAATTTCAACAGCGAATAAAATATATATATTAAAATATTTATATTCATATGTGTCTATTTTTATTTTATTGTATTTTAGCTTTACTAACTTAAATAATAATCAGCTTATATTGTATTATATATAAACAAGACTATTTACTATAGTACTAAGACTTAAAATTAAGATGCTGATGAAATTTGTATACATACAGTTTGTGCTAATGGTTTTTAATTGGTTTAAATAGAAAAATATGAACACCATTCCCCGTTTGCAGCGCATATTATTATTTATCTAACCTAAATATCGGAAACGCCATCATAGCTTTATTTCTGTATATCGCCGCGATTCCGTACAGGGTTATCGGTGTCAACATCTGTGTCAATAAAAATAGAATGACGTCTTAAAAGTTTTATTTGACTAGCTATTCACACGTTTAAACATAGTTCAGAACACACAAGTTGCTACTTAGAACACAGTTTCAGGTGTTGTAGGAGGCGTAGCTAATCGTGTGCCGTCAAAAAGATTGACATGACACTCATAATTTTGTTGTATCCTTAAAATACTACTTTCTGGTGTTATCTGATTTCATTCCAATTTTATTCAATTATATTTCTTTATGTCCCTGACTATGGCCTAGTCGCCGCCAACTTAGGTTGTCTCTTCAGTGGGGGAGAATAGTGAGCTGATGTTTATGTCATTTTTTTATTAAATTACATTATATTTTAACCTTATTTGTTTTAAAACTCTTCAACAAAGAGACATACAAGGCCGAGATGCGTGGCAGCAAACTAGTCTATCTAGCTACGGGGGCGAAGATGACAGAACGGTTGTCAAATATATAAGGAATATGAAGGTCGTATTATGAACACGACGCTCCCACAAGGGAAATCAAACATTTGTTCGTTGTACGAACGTTTCCTCAGACGGGAATTGATCGGAGGACGTAAGATATAAACATTACGGCATTGCAAACATTACGACAGGTGGTCGTAACTTACATATTATATGAACCTAGTGTTGTAAATGCGACAATTGTTTTCAAGAATTTAGTAAGTCATATACATACTTCGAATAAATTGAATAGAACTGAATACATTGAAATGAAAGAATTGAATAAAATGAATAGGCATTGAATAAAATAAATTATTAAATCCATCTAAAATTTCTACACAGACAGAAAACAGTTAAAACAATTGGAAATCATATTTCCCGAAAATTCTGTAGTTGCGTCGCTAATAACCAAAATCTAATCTTTTTTGTCTCTCTATGTGCCTGTCCGCAAATTGTTTGGAGAAACCTCGACAAACTAAGTTATATTGGCGAGAATTATAATTTTCATTTCGATATTGCATACCAGTTTATGTAGATATCTATTGTGAGGTCATTTCTTATTTGAAATTTAAATTCTAATATAAACGCGAAGACCATACGTGTCTTTGCATCGAACTTAGAATTGATTCTAACAAAGCCGTACTTTGCCTTTTCTCTATTACTATGCTTAAGGTATTATTTTCTAAGAACTTAGACATTTCTATGAAAGTACTTTAACGTATTCAAACATTTACGTTGTAAATATAAGAAATGTATGGACTGAATATTTGAAATTGTACATCGTATCGTTGTCTAGGCGTCTGACACAATTTAAAAGTTCAAACATAAATTAGTTTGAATAGTAATTTCGAATTTTACTGTCTTTGTTTAGTGTTTTTGTTGAAACTTGGTAAAGTTAAGAATCATATTAATAGTAATCAATATTTTAGTTTTATTCTCTATCGCTTGTTAGTTATTAAGGCTTTCTCGGAAAGATTAGGACTGTCATCAAGAAATTGTTTAAGACGAGTGATATGTTTGATGTCATGCCCACTAATTAACACTCTCTCTTTGACACGATCTTATCAGCTTGTTCCAGTTTCGTATGAAGTTATTATTATTTATTATTATTAAACATAAACAAACATACACATATAAATCTTTTCTCCATAAAATACAACTATGTCAATTTTATTGTGTCAATGCTAATTTGCTTAGCAGTAATAGAATAAAAATAAAATGTCAAGCACCTAATCTGTCTTATTACGAGAAAAACACTACCACTTAATTGAGCTTAAAACACTTTTTTTTTCATACTAAAACCGTTAAGCTAAAGAACTGCACCGATAAATTTATACATATAAAAAAAGTTTTTATATACGACGTGAATAAAGTTATATAGTGAAATTCAACAGCTTAATCAATTGTAAGACATTTTACTATCTCTGTTTTCTTTGAGGTTAATGAAAGGGATGACTTTATTTTTTTACAAGTAGTAGGTTGGAAACACATATGTAGTTGAGGCAGACTTGTAATGTTAAAGTACTAATCACGTGTTTAATCAGTAATCGGTCACCTCGGGTAACGAGCATAGGTCAGCACGGTTCAACGCCGCGTCGACTATCGTTTTATTCAATACACGTTGCGTCTTATGTTAATAACATTAGACGGTGCAAATAAGCATCATTGTGTAAATTTAATAAAATGCCTTGCAAGTTACATTTTTATGCGTAAATATCCAACATAGGCATCGAATTCCGTACGACAAAAACATTACTAAACCTGTTTTCATTTTTATGCTAATTAGAATATATGGGTAAATATTTATCATCGTAAAAGCTTATGGAAAAAATAATTTGAATGTTTAAAAACGGAAAAATAATTAAACTTAATGAGTTTAGAAGTTTAAGTGCGACAATGTAATTTTAAGTGTCGTAGTTGTGCCGAATGAGATAATAAACTAAAAAAAATGTATTCAGCATAGATCTAAGTTAACAACCGAACGAAAATGAATAGACTTCACGGCATTACATTTGTTCGAAGAACGGACGGGCCTCTTTAAATTATTCAATACGTTTTAAGAAAGTGCGCACTGCCTAAAAGAAAGTGAATGGTGCGGTAACTTGTAGGTAAATTTTGTTTCTCTTGTTACAATTTGTCATGCTCGACTTCGTATTAGAATATAAATGTAAAGTTTCACTGTGCATTGTGCGCTTGAATCTTAAAGTAGGTCAGAAAATGTATATCCAAGCTTGACGATACAAAAACTTATTAGATAACACAATACAATGTGACGCAACATTCGTCCTTGGTCACGAGATGCCGTGGCATAAATTATCTTGAAATGTTTATGCTCGTAATCTACCATGAATTATTAAATTGTGCGAAAATTCATTCATTGATTGTTATTAAGAATACTGAAAATAGTCACGAGAATCTTTATAATTGTAATGTTCAAGAATCAATTTACTGTTAACTATTAAACATTTTTTACATCATAAACTAATAAATACCAAGTTTTTATCACTATCGATTGAATTAACCTAATTCAACAAAATTATACGATTAATAGTATCTTAAATACAAACCCGTAAACGAAGCCATATTCGATTAGGGATATCGCTAGTAGAATCAAAATGTGAAGGACTAATCCAAAGTCCAAAGTAACAATCGATTAGTGTTACTTTGGATAGCTGTGATGTATTACAAGTTAAAATATGAGATCCAGCCATCTAAAGTCCTATTTAATTTTCCTTGACCTGGTATTTATTGATTTATTTTTCTTTGATTTCCAGGGGATTTCGGGCGGTACCAATGCTTTCAGTTTATTCTTCACATCCTGGCGGCGTTGACTGCCGGCATGCACATGCTGTCTCTGGTGACGGTAGCCGCGGTGCCTGACCATAGGTAAATTAACACTAGACAAGATTTTATAATTATAAAATCTTCCCTGTCATATTTTAAATAAAATTATAATAATGGCTTAACTCTGCGTTGTCCAGTGTAAGGGACTAGCTTCGAATCCGTCGGGAGCCCTTTCCAAGGTTGAGTGGATCTGGCATAAACCGTGTTCCTCGCGGGATCGCAATTAGTCGGTACTTACACTGAACTACAAGTGAGTTAAGGTGTTATTTAATTAGTTTTATTAGCTAAACAATAAAAAATATAAAACTAAACAATGCAGAAGCAATAATGACCCAGTAATTTGTTTAAAAAAGCCATCAGCCCAATTTACTGTAATGCCATGACACCCCAGAGAAGAATATGAAACGAATCACTCCACACTTCAAAACACAACAAGATGTTACCGTTTAGATTTTAGGAGGTCATAACAAGAACGGATACATATATCCGAGAAATAATTTATAAATTTTAAACATAGTAATTTTATACCAAACTACATACTGTAGTTAGTATTTAATAAACAGTTGAGATATTTATCCACCATAGCTGTTATAAAGCATTTAATTGATTTAATTTGTAAACAAGTTGAAATACTGGTTATTAACAATAACAGGTGGCAGAATTATTCAAATAATTAAAATGAATTATTACACTAGGTCTGAACACCGTCTTTAACAGGCAAACGATGTGGTGAGCGGTCTCGCTTTTATATAATCTTGTGATGTACTTTCGCTTTTGTTTATTATTGCAGTACGTTTTTCTTCTGTAAAAAAAACTACAGAATTACTCTCCAATTTTTCTCTTTTTATTTCTCTATCTTTTTCTTTTATACAATTATATTTAATAACTTACCTATATTACAATCGTAGATTCTGTGATTGTAAATCGTTTCTATTTATCTCTTTTACTTTAAGGAAAAATACTCTATACTTCTTTTACTTTTTATTTCTTGCGTAGAATGTTCCAATTTTTATTATAAATGTTATCTATAGATTTTAGACTTAACTGTAAAGATGTCTTTCATTGCATGTGCATGAATTATGTGATCGTCTTGAAATCAATTTATGTATTTCAGAATTTGTAATAAACAAATCTTATTGGGGTGCGTAAAACGTTTTCATAATTTATCACATATTTTCGACAAAGATTGGAAAAAATAATGAAAAGGAAAAATTTCACTTAATTGCATTTATTTGATGCAAAAAGTCTACAAGTAATTTTTCTTTGATATTCAATCCGCGTACGCGCACATAAAAGTTCAATAATTTTCATGTTCATTTATTTCATATTTCACTTTTTATTTGTTAAGAAACTATTGGATATAGACCAAGTATGTCAATTATCATAAAATAATTTACAAAACGTTTCATTTGAACTAGTACATGTTTGTTAGGAAACTGGTCACGTTGTAGAAAAGCTGATCGGAATCTACGATTATCTTTCTCAATCTGTTTCCCAGCTATAAGTTTCTTGTTACTCTTTTATTAGAGAGGAATTAATTTTCACCTTTTAACTAAAGGGTAAAGAAAGTTAAGTTTATATAACCTACTAGTAAGTAATAGTTTACTTGCTGGATTATTACGTCTTAAGTTTCAAATGCTTTTCGGGAAAAAGGGTTCTATTTGGTATCGGCTTTGGTGGACGTTTTGTAAACGAATACCGTGTGACGTTTGTGCTATTTACACATATGGGTGATAGAAAGTAAGTACACTTTGCTATAAAATACCTGAATACATTTTACTGGAAAAGGTATACTTACGTTTGTAATGCTTTATTTGTGCTAACAATACATGTAACTCGTTTAACTAATGTTTTCATTTTCATACTGACATTTTATTACGTATTTCACTTTACTCAAAATCTAATACAACCCTGAAGACTCTGATATATTATTTTCCAGCTAATATTTTAGAATGTAACAAAATAAGGTTACTTTGTATTTATCACAATAGTTTATACAATTATAATATAATAACATTATTATTATAATCAATTAACGGAATTATTTCGCGGTATGAAATATTTCAAGGTTTTCAGTGGTCTATATAAAAATGTGATTAGCACATTAAAAACATATTCATTGCATGTTAAATATACAGATATGCATGTTATTTTTAATAATAATATTATTATAAACAAATCACTTACATTATTAAAAAATCAGGCCATATCTCTCGCCTCAATTTACGCTCCAGATTACGCTAAGAAAAATTCAGTTTACACTGCCTAAACTTTTGCGTAAAACATGTTGTATCCACTTACAGTTTTTTCTTCAAACAGAGATAGCAAGTTTGTTTTATGTAATTGTTTCAGTAGTGGGAACTCATTGTAAGGTCAAGTATTAAAGTATAAAAAGAACTTCGTAATATGGCGTCAGAATACATACATTTATATGTATATTCACTAATAACCTATCGGTATTAAAACAATGTTATCGCCTTCGACATTTCCATAGACTTGTAATAGACTGTATAACTTACGTTAGTTTTGCTTTATAAGATATCTTTTTAATTTTATGTTAATTTGTATAAAAGCACAAGCATTCATTCATTTGCACAAGATTTTGTTTGAATTGTTATCTAAGATTTAAAACTCAAAATTAATACACACATTTTAAAATTTTCAGGTGTGCACTCGAAGGAATAGACAGCATGAATTATACGGAACCATGGAATTCATCTCTCGTTCGAAACGCCATCCCTCTAAATGAACACGGAAAATTGGAATCTTGTTATATGTATGGAGTTAATAAAACTTTGAAGGAATGTCAATCTTGGGTTTACGATACAAAGTATTATACGTCATCCCGCGGGATCGAGTGGGACTTTGTCTGCAGCCGGCGGTGGATGGGAGCGGCAGGACAGACTGCATACATGTTCGGAGTTGTCATCGGTTCTGTCGTACTTGGTCGCTTGTGTGACAAGCTAGGTAGGAAAACTATCTTCGTTTGGTCGGGAATCTTGCAACTCGTATTGGGTGTCGCAGTTGCCTTTACTACAGAATACTACACTTTTACTGTGGTACGTTTTCTATACGGCATATTCGGTTCCGGCTCATACATTGCCGGCTTCGTTCTCACTATGGAACTCGTTGGACCAACAAGACGCACGATATGCGGAGTTACATTTCAAATCATGTTCGCGATTGGTATTATGCTTTTAGCAGCCTGGGGATATCTTTTGGATAATAGATTCTATTTACAAATTCTATATGCATTACACGCAGTTATTTTACTTCCTCATTGGATAATAATGGATGAATCTCCCAGGTGGCTTTGGGCGCAGGGCCGCGCACGAGAATCTGTCGCCATTATAGAAAAAGCTCTCAAGGTAAACAAAACCAATGAAACAGTAGACACTCCTTCACTGGTGTCTCAATGCAAAGTGACGTGCGCAAAATACACAGACGAGCACTCGGCTGGAACGATTGACCTTTTCAAAACTCCGAATATGCTTATGAAGACATTGATTATCTCCGGTTGCTGGTTTGCTAATGCGGTTGTTTATTATGGTTTATCTTTGAATACAGGGAAACTTAATGGTAATCCTTATTTTATTATGTTCTTAATGGGTGTTGTGGAGCTACCGAGTTACGTCATTATAATGTATTATTTGGATCGAGTTGGGCACCGAGCGCTGATAAGCGCGATGTTGTTGTTAGGAGGAATATCTTGTTTAGTTGTCGTTACCTTACCCCATGGTTCTACGTCAGCTACAGGAGTAGTAATGGTGGGCAAACTCTTTATATCCGGATCTTATTCTATTATTTATAAATATTCAGCGGAATTATTCCCAACGGTAGTTCGAAGTTCTGGAGTCGGTCTGGGTAGCATGTGCGCTAGTGTGTCAGGCGCCTTAACACCTCTGATTAGTTTGCTCGATACCCTGAATCCTAAAATCCCAACTGTCATTTTCGGTTTTCTGGCTTTACTTTCCGGCTTTTCTACATTCTTTTTACCAGAAACTATCGGCAGAAATCTTCCACAGTCTATTGAGGACGGAGAAAAGTTTGGCGTTGGTGATACATGTTTTACGAATTGCAGCGGCAAAGCAATGAGTAATTCTTCTTTGGACTTACCCGAAACTATGGTGCCCTTAGATGCTGAAAAGAAACAATGAGATGGTATATAAATAAGCAACTTATCACCTTTTGGCGTAAAAAGAAATACGAATTTGTAATATATTTCAATAATTATCAGGGTAATAACAAAAGTAAAAGATGCCTCTCTAACATTTTTGTACTGTTTTATATTTTATAGATCCACTTTTTTTCGTATTCATTATGTGTGTACACTATACATTTTATGCTACTTGGAATTAAGGATGTATCTAATATTCTTGTACATATGTTTTGATACTGCTTATCATATGATATACATGTACAGAAGTAATCTAAGCACAAAGTAAATAAAATAAATTACATTTTATTATGTACGAGTATAATCAGGGTAAATTTTTCAGATAGAAAATATATAATTGCTTTATATTTAAAACCTATATTTATTCCATAGCCAAAAAGACACACAATATATTAAGCTAACAACGAATTTAAGATTAATATTTATGTCTAAATTATTGTTGGTAACATTATCTAATATTTGCCTTATTGACAAATGGCGTTTAATTTTTATCACTTATTAATAATATTATGTGTTTAATAATAACTCTATCTTGCCTATAATATCTCTCTACAGATTATCTTTTACTTTCTTACCGTGCGTTTTCACTGCCGAAACAGATAAATGTTCAGATGATTCGGCAGTGGAAAACCTGGGTTGTAGGTTTAATTATAATTTTAGTTATGCTGACTGTGTTTATTGAAGTCACTAATGTAATACGTATAGCAAAAATAGGATAAGGTTAAAACGTTCAGCTTTTATTGTGCTGGTTTCACCTTTATAATAGTAGTTTAGTTATCTAGTCAGGTTTTACGTAAATGCGAATTAGACTGGATGATCATAGTTCTATAAGTATTCATTTAAATCATATTATAAATTATTTTTATTTAGTTATATATCGCCAGAAACTGAAGTAATTAACAAAACAATAATATGAACTGCAAAAAAGACAATAGATTCAAACATCACGCGTTAGGTTTTGAAGGATAGCGTTTAAATTAAAAGTATAATTTTATTTTTAATTTTACGAAAATAGCAGACCTATTTATGCCATATTTCATATTTTCTACTGTAAGTTTATAGATTTATTGGAAGTGTTTTAAGTACATATTTTAGTAAACCATATACAAACCTTGTATAATGTAGGAAAATGTGCTATAATTATTTTTAAGCAAGTTGTAGATGAGCGTTTTAAATAAGTTACATTGCGTTAACTTAAATATTAGTACTGCCCAATAACTAGTCTATGGCTATTAGTTACATAGAAATACATAAACATCACATAATATATTGCAAATAGAATGTATTTAGATATAGACCTTATAAGGCTAATAAAACTAAATATTATAAAATTATAATTGTTAAGTACTATCAGGGGATCTTTCGGTATTACACGTTAAAAGCAATAACCAATAGGATACAGCTTTTGAATGTGTTTGTATAAAAAAAAGGTCTGTCAGTGATACACGACTAATTTGTTCACTGCTATGTAATTATTTTCTAACTTTGCCTCGTTGGAAGAAACAAGACAATTTTTTTTATAAGTGGATGACCGCGAAGGGCCCTGACTGTACATGTCCTGTTTAGATGATTTGAAAATTTAAGGTATTTAACTTTTCGATCAATTTAGATTTACTACAATTTTTTATGTGGATTATAAATATTTACATAAAACTTTTTTCCTGTACTCCATAACAAGTATACATTTATTTTCTGTTTTGTTATTTTTGTATTTCAGTTATCTTAATTTAAAATTAATTTACAGGTTATTTAAAAATAAATTTTAATAAATGATATTTAAACTTTACGTTCTTATTATTTTCCCTTAACTTTTCGATGTAAACCGCCAGCGCAATTCATCTGTTTTATTTCGAATTAAAACAAATCTAATATTTTTGTTTTCTTATTTGGGTTCCATATAATCATAATAAAAAAAATGCAAAGATGGAGTAAACGTGTAAGTACGTATATATTGAAAAGAAATTATCGTTAAAAATAGTTAAATAGGTTGGCGTTGTGCCACAATACAATATGGACACAAAAAACTCAGTGACAATTAGAAAAACTAAATATAAAATTATAAATGTTATGTGGCTTTTAATCTTATCTAATCCATAAATCACTCAACAACTTCAAAGCCAAGTAGTCCAAATATTTATTCCGATAAAGTCGAGGTTTCATTCTTAGATGATAAAACTTGTGGGCTGAAATTGTAATTAAACATGAATCTGTCACCTTTCCATTCAATGCCACTAATCAGTTAAAAAACTGATGTCATTTATCTAGTTTGCTAATGCGAAGCTTAAAATTTATTGAAGATAATATTCATACATGTACGAGTATTTAATTTAAAAAAAATTATTTTATGTGTTGTAGTTTTGTGGAATGGTTATTTATTCAGCATGGTAAATAGAAATCAGAGATGAATGTTACGCATTATATTGTTAACGGTGGAGCAAAACCTTTTATAAATTTTTTAATAACTAACTTAATTGTTTTAATTTTCAGGTGCTGGATAGATGGTGTAGACACCAACGAGTCGGTGGCAGCTTGGAATTCGACAGCGGTACTAGAGGCGATACCTATGACGCTAGAAGGAAAACTACATAATTGCTACCTCTACAATGAATACAACGAAACGGAGAAATGTACCAAATGGGTCTTCGATACAAGATATAGGACGTCGTCGCGAGCTATAGAATGGAGTTTCGTTTGTGACCAGCGATGGATGGGTGCGATCACCCAAATGGTTTACATGTTGGGTGTATTCACCGGAGCTGTTGTGCTAGGAGGGATGGCGGATAAATACGGAAGAAAAACAATATTCTGCTGGTCGGGAGTACTTCAATTAATATTCGGTGTACTCGCTGCGTTTATACCTGAATATTGGTCATTCTTACTTACACAATACCTTTACGCAATATTTGGTTCGGCCGGTGCTTACATCACTGGTTTTGTATTAACTATGGAGATAGTTGGAGCGAATAAAAGAACCGCCTGCGGTGTCGCTTTCCAGTGTGCATTTGCATTAGGTATTATGTTAGTAGCAGGTTGGGGAGCTCTCATTGATGATAGACAGCTTTTGCAAATTGTTTACGGGCTACATGGTCTCCTATTGATACCGCATATATGGATAATGGATGAATCTCCTCGTTGGTTGTGGGCTCAAGGTCGTGCTAAAGAAGCTGTAGATATAATACAAAGAGGTCTAATATGTAATAAATCTGAAGAAGTATTAGATAAACCTCGATTAATATCAATAGGTAAAGTTGAAAAACTAAAAGACGAGGACGATGCGCCATCTGCTACTACCTTAGATTTATTTAAAACACCAAACTTAAGAATCAAAACAATCAACGTTTGTTTCTGTTGGTTTGCAAACTCGCTGGTGTATTATGGACTGACTCTTAGCACTGGTAAAATGGAAGGTAATCCTTACTTGATAACGGCTATCTTTGGATTTGTAGAATTACCGAGTTACGCTGCCGTAATTTATTTCCTGGATATATGGGGTCGAAGGCCATTGATCAGTTCTATGATGTTAATCGGCGGGGCTGCGTGTATTATCGCAGCTTACCTACAATCTGGAAGTATAATCTCAACTGCGATAGTAATAGCGGGTAAGTTATTTATTGCGGGATCTTTTGCTATTGTTTATAATTATTCTGCGGAACTGTTTCCTACAGTAGTGCGTAATTCGGCTTTAGGATTAGGTTCAATGTGTGCGAGGCTCTCTGGAGCACTGACACCATTAATTTCATTGTTAGATTCTTTTGATCCGAAAATACCCGCTGTGTTGTTCGGTATTATAGCTCTCGTGTCAGGATTTTTAACACTCTTCTTGCCTGAAACAACTAACAAGCCGATGCCGCAATCTTTGGCCGATGGCGAAACCTTTGGTAAAGGAGATACTTGTTTCGGGTCTTGCTTAGGCAAAAAGAAGAACAGTCGGCGATATTCGGTAGAAGATAAAACACCCGAAGCAATGGTTCCTTTAGAAGATATGACTAAAAAGGTCTGAGCTAATTAGGATAGAGATATAAATTTCTAGTACAACATTTAGCTAAGTAAGAAGTAACTATTTTGTACCTAGATGTTTACCAAAGTGGAAATGTCACTTTCGAATATTTATGGTTTTTACATAAAGCACAAACGTATGTATTTTTGTAATCTCATTATTCAAAATAAGATTCTCATATCAAACCTACCGGTTTGTGATAGGATATAACCAAATGTGATCAAATTTGTATAAGATCTTTACGTTAGATAGAATAAATTGTTTTTTTTTAAATGTTCCTATCGAAATCATACAACTTAACAACTATTGCGTAATGTTTATTTATAAACAACAATTAAACTTATACTAAAGTAACATTTAAGTCATGTAAAACGTTTTACGTATGAATTACCAAGTTCAAAGTTTGTAAAATAATTTTGTCCAGGGATCATAAGGATCAGAGACGGCTGCAGAAATATTCAAACACTTGGGTCGAATTATGAAATGAAAATGTTTGAAAATATTTTATTCAAGTATTTATTTAAATTTTCGTAAAACATATCATTTGTGTATAACTGAAATACCATGGAAAATGTTGAATATTGAAGTAAAATTAAAGTATGAAATGCGTTTGTGAGATGAAAAAAGAAATATTAAGGTTAATTTGACTGCATTTTTTTTTAGGATTTATATCTTCATTTAGAACATATGGATGTAATGTTATAAATATGCAAAAATATTTTTATTACGAAAAATATTTGGCGTCTGATTTTTAGATCAACATGCTTCATTGTGAAGAAATATTAAGGTACATTATTTTAATAAAAAATGGTACATTGGAATGTTCTTTATTATTTTCCTAAAAAAACCGAGAACGACGGTGGTGCAGTTTTTAATAACTGGAGATCTACGAAAACATACCATACCATAATTTCCCACTGTCTAAACACCTGTACTAAAACATAGTGTTTTCTCTGTTTTTCCAAACATAATGATAGGGATGACATTTGAAGAAAAAATTTAAAAAAAAATTGAAACACCATCAAACAACATTTTTATTAGACTGTCTTCTTACATTCACATTTATTTTACAGTTATAGAAATTTCAAATGAGTATCATTAAGTGAAAGTGTTGAATTTTCATGTTTTTCTACTCAAATAAAATAAAGTACCTTTAAACCAAAAGTTCCAGGAAAAAAAATGCTAAGAATTTAACTTGTATTATATTACTTTTACTATTAAAAAAATATCTAAATAAACTGTGAATGCAAAGAATGAAATCATTTACCTGTTTATCTATTAAATAACCAACACCTATGTTAATACTAAAAGCAAAAATTAAATCTTTGGAAACGACATTGCCTTTATTTTAATGCAAAAATAATTTACTATGTACAAATTGTTCAATAGAATATATCATTCTATCATATCACATTTTCTAACATATTCTATCTTTTAAATTTCTCTAAAAAAAGCTTAAACTATTTTTTTTAAGGAATAAAATGAAAAGTTAGAATAGACAGAGCTTCAAACTTTTTGAATACCTATTTAAAATTTCAGCGTAGTATAGAAGGAAACATCAATGGACATATAATCACATAGATTGGAACAATTAGTTAAAACTTTTATAGGAATAAACATTTAGAGGATTAGGAAAATCACTTGACTAGTGAAATATATCAGATCTACATTTTAAATATCATATGATTTGACATGATCATGATTAGTATGTTTCTCAATATTAATCGCCAATTATTAACTGAATAAATTTGTGTTTATACTTTCAGTAAGTAAGTAAGTAACAAAAGCTTTATTTGATGTTGCCTATTTCAGTTGTCAAGAATAATTTTTCATTTTTAATAAAATCAAAAATCTTGCAATACTTCATGTATACCAATAAATTCTATCATTGAGCTGCTAATAAAGGCAAGTTTGAAACAATCTATGTATAGATTGATATGTAAATTTTAAGTAAAATCATTTACCTTTAATTTCATTTTTTCTTTTATTACACTAACTTTTTACTTATAATTTAAATAGAAATAATGTATCACTTCAATTCTTATACACAAAATAAAAGTAAAATAAATTATTTGTATGATTTAAACAAAATGAGAATCATCAACAAGTTAAACTGTAAAAAATAGCACCAATACAATTTTTAAACTTTATGCTATTGAAAAAAAAAGCTCTACAATTAGCAGTAAAACTTTACAATCTCATACCTTGTTTCAAAAAAGATATACACATGTATATTTGGCAAAACCATTTACCATGTTGTTAATTGATGGAATAAAAAGCATTAACATTGAAAAATCCTATTCCTAAAAAAACATCAATAGTCTGGACAACGAGTGTGTGGCAGAGGTTGACTTGAACAGTTTTCAGAGTTGGGTTCCGCTGTGAATGCTGTGTGCACTATGATGGCTGGCTGAGTGGGTGTTGGTGCATGGAGCTCATGGCTCTCACCAGGAGCCAGGCTTGCTATAGCCGCCAACAGATCGGGATTCACTATAGGCTCACCTTCTTCACGAGGCTCCCACCCCACTGGGGGGCTCGACGGAGGTGAAATCAGGAACTGTTTTACAGGAGCGGGTGGTTTTAAATTTTTCAATGAAATCGGCGTCACCGGCTGTGCGAAATAACAATTTATACAAGAGTTATAAAATTTATATTGGTGGAGCTGGAGGCGCGCTCCCGCTGCTGCTAGCGGGCTATCATAGTTAACACGCAATCTTTTAAAACTGCGAAGCCATTGAAATGTAATATTTTCTGAAAAATTACGAAAAAGATCTTCTAACTCTTTTTTTAGTTTTTCGTCAGAAAATACATTGGTGTGGATATTTGTAACGATCACTGATTTCGGCAAATCATCGAATTCGTTTGTTTCTTCTTGAAAATCATTTTCTTGTTCTAAATCTCCTATATTGGGGTGTATATTAGGCATGCCATCTTCTGGGTTTATGTACATTTCATCAAAGGTATCACCGTCTTCTTTATTAGCCATAGTATTTATTTTATTTTAAATTAAAAAAAAACTACTTTGGAGTTTTAGTATAACCACAGGAAAAACAATAATAGTAGATGTTAATATTAGGTCTCAATATTTTTCTAATATTTTTACACAGAACACAGATTCATAAATTTAAAAAATATATAATCGATGGCGAAATGTCAATGTCACAACGTGTTTGTCAATAGTTCTCAATATTTTTCTTTTTTATTAAAAAAAGATATGTCAAAAACATGAAGCCACTGTAAAACAATAAAATTAAAGTAGTAAATTAAAGCAATTTTTTTGTGTCGCTTTTATTACATTTTGTTATTAAATTAATGTAGATTCTTTCTTAGTTTATTAGATGTATTATGTAAAATTAAACTTAAACAATTTTTTTAGAACTTTAATCTAGGAATAAGGTTGAAAGTAAATCGATAAAAAAAAACAAAGTTGTAAATGACTCATTTAGGTCTTTCACCAAAAAAAAAATCAGGAACTCTTTTGTTTTATTATCTCGTATCTTATCTGTGTCTTTATCATATTATCTATGACTTTGTTATTGCTTGTCGAATAAACAGACATTTGTGAGTTTGTTTTTTGTTGTATTTTGGTCGAAAATTATAATAATAACTTTAGAATTTATAGTACTAGAACTAAAATATTGATAAATAAATATAACTTACATTTCAAACAAGATTATACAAATGGCAGGCCTAGAATCTATGGTAGCAGAAGAGGTTAAGCCAATCGACAGAGAAAAGGTTTGTTAATACTTAAATAAATCATTCAAACTGAATTTACATAATAATTTATCGTATATTATTGCAGACATGCCCTTTACTACTTCGTGTGTTTTGTTCTACTGGAAGACATAATTCACCCGGCGATTACGCTAGAGGGCTTGTACCTCAAAATGAACTTCAAATTTATACATGGATGGACGCAACGTTAAGAGAACTCACAGGTTTAGTAAAAGAAGTGAATCCTGAGACTAGGCGGAAAGGCACATATTTCGATTTTGCTGTAGTTTTCCCCGATGCGAGATCCCCTACATATCGTATGAGAGAAATTGGCGTGACTTGTTCGGGACAACGGGGTGGTGATGATAATAAAACTCTGGCTCAAGTTAAATTCCAAATTGGAAATTACCTAGACATATCAATAACTCCATCGAACAGAATGCCACCTCCGATGAGAAGACCGCAGAACTATGTTAATAACAGACCATATTAACAATTAAATTCTTCTTTAGCTTTGTTTTATAATAAATAATAACAAGTAAACATATTGTTTTTATTTAAGCAATTACTGCCATTTTGACAAATTTGTGCAATATTTACTTGTACAGTATGGATCTATGATTAAAAAAAATCTAAGCTATAACAAATACCAAGCCAACAAAAGTGTATAATAGGTACTAGTTAAATTCAGCAATTTGAAGTAACATATTTATGTGTACATGTTGTTTTGGAAATATCATTTGTAATTAAAACCAGGATTAACTTGTTTTTTTTTTACATCCACGGGCGAGGAAATGCACAGAAAGAAAATATTTTCCCTTCCCATGCATCCTCTCATCCGGATAATCCGCTGCTCTCTTTTTACTTCTTCTACTTTAAAAAAAATGGTGGGAAGCGCGGAATTTCTTCTACTTTACGCCTGTCTTCTGTGTGGTTGTAGTATTGCACCGGGTGAGCTGGAGCAATTCGTGCAAAGATGTTAAAGCAGGCTCTACCACTTGTAATTTTAAATTGGCAATACCAATTGTCCTAGTTTATGTTGAAGCTTGTAATATTTTATTCTTTTTACGACGATATTAATGCTGATATAATAGTGAATTGTAACTTTTTTTTATTACTGTGCGATATTTAGTCCAAATTGAACTACTTAGTTTTAACTTTTACAGTGGTCTAGAATGGTGGCATAATTTATGGTAGCACTTTTGACTGGCCAAAAAAAAAAATTTTTAGTTAATCCAAGAACTTCAAGAAATTGCCATTACCAGATTTTCTGTTAAAATATGTAGTGGGTATTTACAAGAAATTAAGGATGAAGTGTACAAGCCAAACTGTCAAATTTGTCTATGTCAATCAGTGATAAACAAATGTTGATTTATGGCGGTTGTTTTCATTAGGCTCAATATGATAAAGTTAATTTACCTTCGTTTTAATTAAAATGACGTGTGTGAAAATTTTGCAAAAAAATTAGAGAAAATTTGTCAAAGTACAGCCAGTGTAAACGGTGCGATGGTCGTAGTTCGCGAAATTAATTTACATCAAAGATAATTAATAGTGGAATAAGTATGTATTTCTTGAAGTCAAAGTACCGACAAGTTTCGTTTATTATTTTGCATTGCAGTAGGTTAAATAGGTATTTACCGGTTATTAAAACAGTGTTTATTAGTGCATAAGTGAGATTTTTTAGCAAGAGATTAGCAATCGAAGCTAATCAGACTTTGACACAATTCAATCTTCTCCAAAATGACAATGTAAATCTTATGTTGACATGGCGGTTAACCGCCAGCTTAAGCTTAGCTTAAGCTAAAGACAATAATTTATTTATTTATTAAAAATGTATACACATTAACAATTAAACAAACAGGTTGAGCGTTGGAGTCTGTCATAGTATGAACTGTGTGACAGACAATAATATCGAATGTATCAGATTAATTATGGTGTATCCGGTCGTCTACTCCCTTCAATTGTCTTAAAAATTGCAGTAAAAGGATATTAGTAAAGTGCGTGCATTAGGTTTGTGGGGTGTATAATATGCTAGTAATTCGTGTTTTCACCAACTCAACTTGGCCTGCGAGACAGTGCTAGACTTCCAGAACCATAACTGAGGTATGTGATAAATCTGAATGTATGTAATAAGTAGAGTCAAAGTAGAGCACACGGAAAAAGGTTCAATATCCATTTGAAAAAGTCCTTAGTCATTGAACATGTTTTTGTACGCGTTTATACCGATATGCGATTTTTTTATAATGTGATAGTATTAAAATTATCTTTACAAATTAAATCTCTTACAGTGAAATTTGCTATCTTTCAAATGTAAGGCACCTTTTTTTAGAAGCGTGAGAATGGAGCACTGAAAAAGTAATGAAAATAAAATCATAATCATTTTTAATGGTTATATTTTCGTTTTATTTGTTAGTTGAAGCTGACCTCACAAAGCCAGCTAATACAACTGACAGTTATTACGAAATAGAACGAAAAAGTTGACTTAAAAATATATTTTCCTAAAATAAATATTGTAATATACTTAAGATCTAGTGAATACTTGGTGATCTGAATGGCCTCTTAGATTTCTTCCCCATAGCTGCGAGATCAATTGTTATGCCGTTGGGCAATACGGCTTTGTTCTCTTGGTAGTCAATGAAACCCTTTTGTTCCTTTTCCTCGTTTGCTTTATCGCAAGGGATACCAGTCTCGTAGTTGTATTCACGTTTTACGCCGTCAGGATCAACGTAGCCGTATTTGCCTCGTGTAACACAATCGTAACCGATGGTTTCCTCTTTGAATGATCCGTCGTCATTTTCAAAGCCCCAGGTGATACTTCCGTCGTCATTTTCCTCTCTGAACTTTCTGATGATTTGGGCTACTGGCTTCTTCTCCCTAGAATTTGATGGGCTGTATTTCTGTTGAGGAACGCTTTTAACAGGGGCACGATTGACTTGTTCTTGGCGATTGTATTGACGTACTGGTTGAATAGGCACTTCCTCTTCATCGATGAAAGGTCTGGGCTCAGGTCGGAATGCCGGGCGCTGCGGGCGGCTCGACAACGGCTGCAGGCGCGCTGGTTGCGGCCGTGGTGCCTCGTTTCTTTGTGGGGTAAACGACTGTGGCGAGACTAATGGCCTGTACTGCGTCGGTCTGACGGGTTCTTGTCTAGGCGCCGTCGGGGTTGTTTGAGTGAAAGGTGTGGGATTGTAGACTATTGGTGGTTTTGGCTGTGATGTAGTAGTGATGTCAAAGTAGTCGTTTTGTGGCTCAGCTGTAGAGAAAGCATTAGGAACAAAAGCTGTGGGTGTGTTGATGTCCACTTCGTCTTCTGGTTCTTCGGTGACTGGTTTTGCCGTTTCCTCCAGAGATTGTAGACTCGGCCTGGGAGCGGCATCTACAGATTTGAACGATGGCCTGGCCAGTCCAGGTCTCCTAATTCTGTTTACTACGCCGGGGAGCGGTCCGGTCGCTTGCAGTCTTCCTTGTCTGAAGCCGCCTTGCCGCGGTCCGCCTAACGGGACGGCTCCGGGGATTTGTAGTCTTGGTGGAGTAGGCGAATCATATTGAGCATAGACTGTGACTGCACACAGCATACATATCTGAAACATACAAGTAAGTTCTTAGTATTTTCTTCGTACATAAGTTGACGTTTCTAATGCTTAAAAATAATTTAAAAACGAATGTATTAATGTCATATTTCTGTATAACTAAATTTTTTAATTAAAATAAACTAATTTTAGTCTTGAATTGTTGAATTCGTGTTTTCCAAAACCTTGATCATGAGTGCAAGAGTACTGTGCGAACTGTCGTATATAATAACCACTTTATAATGTCATGTCCCGGATGTAAGCACCATGAGGCCGTGTGAGTAAGTTTGCGTCACACTATTATAACTTGAATTGTAACCCCTTAGTTAAGTAATGTATATTTGGAATATAGAATCCAACGTTATAAAAAAAATTAAAAAATAGAGAGTCTCTAACTCTTATTGCAGGAGTTAATAATGATTTAATAAAATAACAATCTGCTATTACATTTTTAACAAATTCAATAACGCTTATGCAACGATTATTTTCAAGTATGGACTCGTTACCAACATAGTAATTTTAATCATAACGTGGGCTGGCAGATAATGCTAAGTAACTTTGAGTCCGCCCATAGTGTTTGAAGTGTAAGAATGCGATATAATAAAATGCCTTGATGTATAAAACAGATAAACTGATGACTTTCCTATTCATGAATGTATCCGTTATAATATTGACAAAAATAATAAGCCGGGTTTCTAATTTTTAGTCAATAAAAAGGTTTAATTCTTTACATATATTGATACTAGCTGTCACCCGCGACTCCGTCCGCGCGGAATTGAAAAAAAAAACTTAATAAGGAGCCTATGCGTTCTTCTGTGCCAAATATTATCATTATCCGTTGAGCCGTTCCGTAGATACCTCCTAACAAACATTCATTTATTCATCCAAACATTCTCATTTATATTATTAGTAAGATATTAAAAAAATAGTTATCTTAGTTCTAATTTATACATTGCACAATGAATGAATAGCGTACTTTCTAGTGTTAGTCCTTGTATTGCAGTCATGTCGAACACGACTGACTTGATATACCGGCTCTACAACCGTGCTAAATTACTCTGTGACCCAATTTAATTTTTATTCAAATTAAGACATTACTATTATTTGTCAGAGGTTATAAAGTTGGTCATGCTTATTTGTAGCTATAAAACTTTGATATAGGGTCGTAGAAAAGTTATATGCTATTTTAAAATTTTATCTGAATATTCTGGGCTTGTCAATGTCACTGCTGAAAAGACTCACACATAGAAAGTATTTTCGTGAAAATATGGTAAATAAATATAACAAATAGTCTAAGTATAAGAATTTCGAAACATTTATTTAAAATTGGTAACTGTTCTTTTTTTTACCTGGAATAACTATCTTTTATATAATTATTACAATTGTTAAACATAAATTAGAAAATTATAAAACGTGAATAAGATTGCGTGCGAATGAGGTATCTAACTTAAAACTTCAACAAGAATTACAAAACTGACAATTAAAAGATACGAATTAGTCTCGCAATAATGTTTGCGTAATAGGAGCCCGGTATTTGAATTATTGAGGAATTTATAAATTACTAGCTGTCGCCCGCGACTCCGTCCGCGCGGTATTAAAAAACATAATTAGTAGCCTATTTATGCCTAATTTCATCGAGATGCGTTTAACCGTTCTGGAGTTCTAAGAATTTCTAGTCAACAGACCAATAATTGTTGTTTTTCGTAGGTTTATTTATGCTCATTGAACAATCTTGTATGCATATATGACATAATTTTGGTATATACCGTGACATTAATTTACTTTAAGTATATCCGAGTGACTACCGTTTCAAAATTAGCGTTTATCGCTCAAATTGCATATAAAATCTGAAATTAAGTAAAAACATAGAACGTGAACTTTTACTTAAAGTTTTTATGTATTATAAAGAGCACTTTATTGATTGTTTATGCCGATAAAATCTATATTTATCGCGGAAGAATTGCTCATAATTAC